AGTATATATATATATATATATATACTTAGGCATTGGCGGAGACTTCACGAAATATCAAATCTTTGCATGCTGCGGAAACTCCTGCTCTAGGTAACTAGAAGAGTGAACATTTTGATTAAATATTAAGCCTTGATAAGATACACAAGGGAATTACGTTAAAATTTGTATTATATACGCTGCATAATGTATTCTATTAATTTGCTATTTTTGAACAAATCACGTATTTCTTTAAAAGTTTGTAAGTTCAACAGTTGTTGTATGCGCGCGAGTAATTGAACGTAATGCTCAGATAATAGACCATGAGCGCGAGGACAAAGATAATATACGATAAAGCACGACAAATTTTTCAATTTTAATTAAGTGTCAGTCAAATCCGCAGTCTCAGTCAAAAATCCGAAAAGATAATAGCCGCCCTCCATCCACCTTTGAGCAGATTTAACTCTTCAAACAGGCGTCATGCATATTCTATCAACGACCTAACCAGAAACCACAGGCCAGCCTTGCGGTGATGTTAACCCAGCAGCTCTACTAGGATCTATATAGCCTTGACATGGAGGTATGTCGGGATTGAGGATTTTGAAAAACGATGAAGCAACCGTAACCGCAACAGCGGCCTCCTTTCTACCTTTGACACGACGGAAATATTGCAAAATTCTTTTTTTCCTCCTAATATTTAGGCTCTATTTAAAAATCAATACAAAAGTTATAAATCCTCGAGATCAAATAAGTTTTTTAAATTTTGTGTCTCGGTAAACGTATAATGTACCGCTAGTGAGCTCAATAAATATGTCAATTTAATGCTTAAAATAATAGGATAATATCTTTTTTATACCTGAAAATTAATGAAACCTTAATTTATTCGATAAAACAATACCGGGTTTGACGTCTACTGTTCTGACACTGAATAATTAATAATGCTGTTTGGTTCCTTTCGCGTCAGCAATTTATTTGTAGCAATTTGTACATTCACCACAAATCATGTCGAGTTTACAAGAATAATTGTAAAATTAAATATTAATTATATATTTATCTACCTCAAATATTATAAACAAATATTATAAACAAAGTTTAACAAGCAGATTTAATATTATGTGAACACGCATTTAAGTTTCCGTTTATATTCCATTTGAATTATAAGGTGAAAACAATATATACGAGTAAATCTTTTTTAATGCTGTTGGACGCGGATTTGTTAACGTAATTAACGAGTTAGTTTCAAGAGGAGGAGGGTCGTAAAATATTAAAATTACTGTTGTCACTCACCTCCTTGTCGCCCAGCTGATGAACTCTGCAGTGAAGAAAGGCGGTCTGACCGACTGCGGTAGTGACATTCCGTGGAACATTTGTTTCGAACGCCGGCACGCCGCTGACATTGCGACTCCCCTGAACAAGACTACCGCTCAAAACTCTCTGATCGCGAGTGAACGTACCTGCGTGACATATAAAACAAATGTCAGCGTCAGAAATTAGCATGTCCACAACTGAATTGTAAAAGTCGTTGTAAAGCCGTAAGCGGTTTTAAGCGGTTCTAAATAAACTTTAAAGTATTTTACCGGCTTGGAATTGTTGTATTAAACGAAAATAATTGAGTAACTTTTCCTTTCTCGTATATTAATATTATATTTCTAAGATTTTGAATCAGTCGGACCTTTGAAGGAATAAGGATTAATAAGGATTATTTCTGTTTTTAGGTCGGAAGCTATTTGCAAAAGAGGAATGCAATTTGGTGAGTCAATTTATAAAATTAAAGATAAATATAGGGGAGACCAGGGTCAGTTGACTATAGGGATAAGTAGAATAAGATAGATAAGAAGAATATATGGAGGCTACATTAAAAATAAAACACGCGAGACACGCATAAATATGTCTGAACATGCAACAGCGACTGCCGCTAAGTCTGCTGTAACATCTTGTTGCGAATACATCTATGATAGAAGTTATGCCATAAAAAAATCATACACCTAAATAAATAGTTTTATTCTTAAAGTTTTTGTTTTATATATGATTGTTTGAGATTTGATTTCTACTTAGATAGTAAGTATTCTTACTTAATAAAGTCCAACAGATTTTTGTTTATGGATCTTTGTTATCGTATATTATTAATGTTTTTAAAAAATGAACGGATGGGGATAGTAGACTAATCAGCATGGAACTATATGTTCCATTTGTATGATTCATTTATGTCATTGACGACTCTTATAGTACTCAAAATTTTATTCTTTTAAAGAGATTTTCCTCAATGGTAAATGTTATAAGTTTAATTCCCTCATGTCCAATCTCGAAAACTACTTATTCGACGTGTTTTTGCAATTGAAATGAACAAATTTTGTAAAAAGAAGCATTGTTTTGTCCTGCGAAGCGAATGTTTGTGTTTAAAATATATTTTTATAAAAGTTTCATTAATATGTAGCCAAAGATGTAGCTTAAAATACATTAATCTTTATTTTAATAATCTTAGTCAAATTATCTCAGTTCCGGGACTAGTTAAATCAGATAGAAAAATACACTTTTTTTCATATTAATTATCAGTTTCCCCTTATTATTAAAATATTATTGGCTAGTCAAATATATGTAGTAACTGGTATAGATTCACTTTTTTGATAAGTCTTTTAATTTCGTTTGTAAAAATTCGAAATTAAAAAATAAGTCTATTAGCCTCGGTCTCCCTTATATTCTTCCTACACAATTTAATAATAAATGTGATTGCCTCACTTAACTTGCATTTACATGGAATATACATAATGTTTTATTTCTGTCAACTGTAGTAGTATAGATAGCTGCAGTTTTTAACTTAATTACATCTTAATTCTAAACTACGACCGTATTGTAAGGCTTTTTTTATATACAATATATAAGATAAACTTATAAATTTCACGATCAGTATATTTATACAAATACAAATTATATTTCTCTTTTACAAGTTTAAATCGAAATTACTAAAGGATCCCGCACTAATCTTATGTAAAATGGATCCCAGTCGAATTGGCTGAAATTTTACTATAATATTGATCATGATGTCCTGATCAAAAGTCCTCATAGGCAGGTCTAAAGAAGATCCAAAAATGGACAGTTTTCGAAATACTGGAAATCAAATGTTGGAATTTAGCCATATTTTCAATATTTGACATTCAAAAATTATCTCGAAAATTATCCATTTTTAGACCTTGTGCCTATGAAGATTTTTATTTAATTAGGACATTATGATCTCCATTACAGTAAAATTTCAGCCAATTTGACTAGGGTCCATTTTACATAAGATTAGTGCGGGGTCCTTTACGAATCTTATCGTATTTTACAAAAATAATGCCTTTCACAGTACATCTTATAGATATTATTGCATAAAATGTAAGTCAGACATCATTTTCAAGTATTTCAAGCAAGCATTCTAATATTTATTTAGGATATTAAAGAGTAATATTAAATATATATTTAAATATTTA